CCTATTATCTACTTCTGATATATTTATATAATAATGAAACCAGCGTGACACACCACACGACACCTAGTAGGCTACATGAAGACATGCAGACCGTGTCGGCTCCACCTCCATACCTGGCCGGTAAGGTGTTAAGCTCCACAGTCTGAAGAAGCCGTGCTCCTGCCTGTCCAAACCACATCGCCTTGCCGCCGACGAGCACGCCACAATGGTTGTTGATCTCGGCACCGTGCACTCTATCCCAGATGCTGCCGTAGCCACCGCGCTCATCAAAGCTCTCCAGCAGCGAAGTCGGTCTGATGACGTTGGATCGCTGACAGGCGCGACCTGGTGGCAGAGAGTCGAAATAAATGTGGTTCTTGTTTTCGCCTGTTTCAACGTGAGATTCGGTTTTGAGGGAATTCGGAATTTGGAGAGTTAACTGTACACATATATATATATATCTATATACAGATCTTTCTCACCTGAATATCCTGGTTCGCAGACGCACCTGCGCTGCTTACAGAGACCATGGCCACTACAGCGCCCCCTGCAGGCAGGGCCGATGTAGACATCACTCAGGGCGAAGGTGCTTATACGTCCGACATCCTTCTGCCACCAGCGCAGCTGAATTCTCCTGTAGAAGAAGACAAGACGCAATGTAGAAGCACGCAAGCACGACACACGGGGCTGGCATATGTGCAACTATAGCCTAGCAGCCTCCTTTATTTCTACCACAATCAATTCATTAATTAATTCGCAAGAGTTGCTTGTATGTGTGAAGGAGCATAATAGATAATTCTGTTGTTTATAAAATTTAAAATGTACATCAGATCATGTTGTGCAGGATTAATTATATTTACGTTTGGATGCGTGTCTGTGCAGTAGTGTAGCTAACCCATTTAGCCTGGGGGCAGAGCCACGCGTGTGGGGTGCGCCCCGGGAAGGTGACCGCCATTGACCGTGTATTGCATCAATTTTTTTCTGAGGCGCAAATACTCTATTTGCCCTCCCTCCCTCTAGCTACGGCCCTGTTGTGTGTGTGTACGTGCATGCGTGCGTGCGTGCGTGCGTGCGTGCGTGGGTGCGTGCATCTGTATGAGGACTAGTCTGTCTGTGTATACCTGTTAACTATGGTCCTGGGCACCTCGACGACGACGGTCGTCCAGCCGGCGTGCGTCGCCGGGTAGTAGACTGAGCTCTCCGACGCTCCGGCTTGACATCCGGACCCCGCCCGACATGTTTCCAGCACGGACAACCAGGTGGCGCCAGAGTCTGCTGAGTACTGCAGCAGTACGGGGGTCTCACATGCGAGAGCGGCTGTGGTTCGACAGCCAACGGCAATCTGCGAGTACGTATAGAGGTCACTTGAATGACGTCGGATATACAGACACACGTTTCGCAAGTATGTACTCCTGATCACACATCAGGGGTTAATAGCGATAAAAAAATTTATTATTCAATAATGAAATTATTCAATAGTTGAAATTATTCAATAATAATGGCAAATTTTCCATTATTAACCCCTTTGCACATATCTACCTGCCGCGAACCGTGGCATAACATGGATGACCCGGCATTTAGTCACCCCCGTCAGCTAGTGGCTACTTCACTCCGACCGCAGTCATAGATGCTTTTATACAACTAATAATGTTCACTAAGAACGTAATTGAGTGGCACAATACAGAAGATAACGGTCAAGCCTCCTACGCATGTTGCCACCTGTAGAGAGAATATCGTACCTTGAACTGAATGACGTCACCATTCTTCAGGGTGATGTCCTTGGTGACGATGAATCGGTTCTTGAGGGAGGAGAGCACGAGCGTGCTGTGGTTGCTGCCACAGTACTCAGCACTCGCATGAGGAGAGTGCGCCAGCCACGCCTCGTTCGGTTCATCCTGCAAGCACAATACGTCGTCACGTGTCGTAACACCCCGCCCTCACAAGCTCCCGCACATAAGATATATGGCGGAAGCGCGGCAGCCAGCCGATATCACTGCTTATCGTCTTCTCTCAGTTTTTTATGCCTTTATCCACGTATCCGGCTGAGGCGTCTTTCGAAATAAACACAACGTGTCATCCAACACAAATTTTAAAATGCTGATCCATCGGGATTCGGGGGAACTGCGGGACCAGAGTGGCGAGTCGTAGAGACAAGCCAGAAGGGATTCTCAAATCTACTTTATGATTCGCATACACTTACATCTGGTATAAATGCTGGGAAATATGAAGCTACGCACAGTTATTATACTATGACGCAAGGATAAATCTGCTCTTTGCTTCGCATACACTTATATCTAGTAGACGAAACACTAGGAAATACGAAGTAGCAGGAACACGCATGGTCATCATACAATGACGGAATAACGAATCTGCGTCCGGGTTAGCTAGCATACACTTAAATTAAGAAGAGATAGTAGGAGATAAAAAGTAACATGAAAGAATTACTCGGAGGGGCCTTGAATTCCTACCTTTTTAAAGACGAGAGCGCTGCCTGAGACAAGCATGCCACACTGAGAGCTAGTTTCTCCCCCGTACGCTTCCTTCCACGCTGTCATGTTCACTCCCTGGTCGAACGTGTCTCTGGTAGAGCAGGGTAACTGCTCCTGCACCACACAGTACGCTCCCCCATACCCTGCGTCGCACCTGCACGCGAAAAATATTTTTTTGCAATTGTGTCATGAAATAAAATCTCGAGGCACGTAATAAAAACAATACAACTAGTAATGTTGGCAAATATATTAAATAAACATATATACAGCAGTATAAATACCTATAATAAACTAAAACCTAAAACTATAAAATACTGAAATAAACTAAAAACTATAAATAACTATATAAAACAAATATATAATTTTATAAAATATATACGATAACAATCGTCTCACTCTTGCTGTAAATCTTAAATATCCTAAGAGGCGAAAACCAAACCAACTACAGAAATACGATACAACCCAAACGAATAACAAATGCAATAGATATGACAGATCGACAAAGACATGACAGCAAAAACACATTATGTAAGCCATACAAGGTTATAAGACAGTTATAATCATGGTGAGGGGAATGAATGGGTACTCACACACATTCTCCCATGTTGCAGTAACCATGACCAGAGCAGAGCCATGGGCAGCCTCCCCCGATGTAGACATTGTCCAACGCCCACACCTCTCCCTGTGGTATCTCTCCCTCAGTCATCCATCGGAATCGTGTGGCCGGGGTGCTGCGTGTGAAAAAAGCAGGTTTATATATTAGTTTCATCACATATACTTAAACCCAGAGAAACCCGTTATGGGTTATATCTACAGGAAACGCATAAACAGAAAGTGGCTTAAAACTCGGAATGAATAATATGCTATACGCACTCAAATTGTAATGGCAATTAATTGCTCTCAATGGCAATTCATGATTCTTAGTCTTTCTAAAACTTTGTGAAAACAGAGCTGAGAAGGTAAAGTATATCAATCAACACTGCCCAACAACCACTGATATTTACCCAGTAGATATAGTGGAAGCCAATATCATTTACAAAAAGATACCAATCCATATCAAAACGAATAATTGAAAACTAAGTAATGGGTGTACATATATACAATAATCGATAGATAAATAGGATGAACGAGTGACATACGAGGCTTTGGCAGGCAGGTAGTTAAAAACACGGGTCCAGATGGTGTGTGTCTCCGAGTTGTACTTGCTGCTCAGGTGGTAACCATTGCAGCCAACGTTGGGAGGCAGACATTCGTCTGCTACGGGGTTCCAGCTTCGCCCACCATCCACCGAGTATTCTAACCTGCATCATGAACGCCGCGAGCATGTGTAAACGAAGGACTACCGACTTAAAGTGCTTACGTCACCGTCAATAGTATAAAAGTAAAAAAAATTATGTCCACTTTGTCACAAAATGTAAGTGATTCTGTCCACTTTTTATGGTTAAATTGCTGCATTTTTTATACTTCCTATTTTACTATTCCGTTTGATGTGCACAAACACTCGTGACTCATACATAGCCGATAGCAAGCATTTAATGTCATGATCAATATATCAAATCGTCCAGATTTTTTGAATTTTCAAATAGTTGAGAAACAATCTCATCAGGTAAGAATTTTCGGATACATTTAGTGCCGTTACTACTTACTTTTCATGTAAAGAAATTGCAACAAAATTTTACAAATATACACCATAGAAAATTCGTAACGTAGTCAAATTCAGGTAATGCTTGGTCGTTTGTTTAAGAGGGGAAGACTGACTTCAGCACACACGACGCTATAGTGCTGTAATTGCATGACTCGTGCAATATGTCACAGGCATGTCAAAGCTGACAATCCATCCTGGAATTTTTTAACCCATAGGTGTTCCATAGTTGTTGTTTTTTATCCCATGGTTAGTTAGTATTAATTGTGATTATGAATCCAATATGCCGTGTGGTTAAGAGGTTGTTACACATCCTCTACAAATTACAATGGTAATGACGATTTATTATGATTGTTATTAAATGTTGTATGCGCGAAACTTTCTTACCAGACGAATGTCTGCTGTATAATGGTAATAGACATTTAAAAGTTAAGCACTAATTGCATTAATTATGCATGATTACAGTCACACAGTGCAAATCACACTCAAATACATCAAGTAGGCTTGGGTGATTATCATTAATATATACACACTAAAACACAGGAATTGGAGGAATATTTCTTATTTCTTACACAGCTGATGTTATCTGGAGCCTTTTATCTGCTGCATAAACCTAAACTGGTGACAATTAATATCTCTCAAACAAAGATGCAATAAACCCACCTGACAGCATAGGGGAAGGTGTAGCGACCACAGCCCATCATAAGATCAAACTGGATGAATGCAGATGGCAGCACGTGTATGTCCCATGTCTCTGCAAATTGTTGCTTACCTGCAGGGGGCAAAAGAATTGGTCCAATATCTCAACACTCTCTCTGAGTGAAATCCTCATTGCCTTATATCTTCGCAGCAATGACACAATTCACACGACAATACTGCGTTAACGCATCAACTGATTTCGAACCATTCCACACCAGTATTAACAAAATGATAAGTATTACTAATCTAAGAGGTATGACAGACCAGTATTAACGAATAATTCTTAACAAGGTATTCCACATATCTGCCGTGCGCCCGGCACATCGACCGAAAGAATAACGACATAACATAGATGGTCGCCACCGACCTCGCATAGTGCGGAACTCGAGGGCGGTGTCCAACGTCAGGCAGGTCTTCTTCGGACGTCCGTCGGCAGTCTTGAACCAGCCGTCGTCCTGCATCGGATCGAACGTGTCCTGGAATCGCACTCGCTGACCTCCATCGCTCAGCTTGACACTGTCTATAGCCCACGCCGCACGCGTCTCTATAGAAAACAACATCTATAGTGAGTGTATGCACTGTCTATAGCCCACGCCGCACGCGTCTCTATAGAAAACAACATCTATAGTGAGTGTATGCACTGTCTATAGCCCACGCCGCACGTGT